ATTGGGATTGTTCCTACTCCAAAACAATTAAATTATCACTAATATTGCAGTTCTGGAATGATATTAAATTAAACCATTAAAATAAATTACAACAAAATTAAAATTCTTTATAAACCAAATGTATTAACATACTACAAAATTCCTGTAAGGTCTTTCCTGAAAAGCTCAGAACCTTTCAAAATACACGGAACTGCTCTCCATTTCCACAATTGTTAATGCCACACTGATCTGAGAGAACATGACGAGCTATATTTGCAACCATTAAGCACGTTTTTCAGATGAGAGTAACATTAAGAAACTGTACTGGATCAATAATCTGGACATTTTAGTAAAACTAATTTGGCCAATACCATATAAAAATTCATAATACTGTTGTATAAAAAAAGCTAAAAAGGATACTCATTATATATACAAACTGTACAAACTGAACCCAACAGCTTGTTAAATGCAGTTTTACAAAAACCAAATATGACAATATATCTGTATATACATTTAAAATAAAGTTATAAACTGTAGTTATTAAAGAATATTAAATCCAAAGATTAAATGAAAAATTTAACCTCCTTTAGAGATTAAGGAACAGTATAAAAATAGACCAGTCTCTGCTTTATGTAAAATTTGATTTACAGGACCTGTACTAACATAAGATAACCCAGTTCAGCTCTGCCAAGTGCTGAGGTAAAGAGTGTTTTGACCTCTCCTGGCCCCCTTTTGTACAACTGAAGGAAAAGAGGCATTCTTCATATGAAAGTGCACATTCCACCATGCAGTGTTAGCGTCAGCTTTCACTCAGGAGACAGAGCAGACAACACTGTTCTTCTGATTTTTTAAAGCCTCCTTTCTTTGAAGTTCCCTGGTAATCCTCCTTCTGATACCTTCTAAATAAAGGTTTCTGTCAAACTGACCAGCACCCAAAGGAATGCTACAAAACAAAAAGGGAAATCATTGCATAAGTATACCATAGAGAAACTTGAAGGACTACCTGTATAACCTATAAAACTTGTAACAGGATATATACTTACTTGTCTCTACCTGGCCTCACTTTAACCTGGAAAACAGCATACACAGGTCTGTGATCTGATGTTTTGATTGTAGGGCAGCAGGCATACTTCATAACTTTGATGTCATCTTTCTGTCGACTTCTGTACAAAACTCGATCCTTACAAGTAAAGTAGAGAACAAACTGAGGATGTGAAAAAAATAATGAAGCTGGACATTACAGAATTCATTACATACCCATATTTATTGCATAGCGTGTATTTCATCCTTTTTATCATAAGCAGCTGTAGACAAAGCTGTTCTTGGGTAATTTCTTCTAGTAACTATTTAATATATCAAAGTAACAGCAATCTGGAACATCCATCTATCTTCTGACCGCTTCTTCCAATTGAGGATCGAGGGGGAGCCGGACCCTATTCCTGCAATCAATAGGCGCAAGGCAGGGTACACCCTGGACAGGACACAGGCCATTGCAGGGCAGACAGAAACAAATACAGACACGCACATGCTCATGCTATTTTTTCAAGAAGTCAATTAACCTTCCAGTACTTTTCTGGACTGTGGGAGGAAACCCATGCAAACAAGAGGAGTACATACAAACTCCATGCAGATAGCACCCCAGGACTGGAATTGAACCCTGGGCCCAACCACAGCAAAACTGCAATTCGAATCGCCACCATGCCACCCTAAACCAAACTCTGATTACAGAAAATATTTTTATTAAGTTTTTATTAAGTTAATTTATTATCCCCTTCAGACGTTTTTTTAATCAATCTGTTATGTATTAAAATGGGCAAAGTTATATTTTACAAAAGCCCATATTCTATATAATGAATTAAACCTATTGTGCAATCTGAAAAAGACAATGACCACCACTTCCTCACCGTGTATGATGGTGTTCTTTGCTTTGCAGTGCTATCATAAGTGTCACAACCGATGTCAAACTTGTAAGTTGGGAGAAATTGAATAGGTGCCTCTTCAAAACCTTTGAAAATGGAACCTGTAGCAAAAGAAATAGTATAACTATGAGTAGAAACCCTTTTTTTTCCCTATTTCTGTTTCTCCAATTTAGTGTTTTACTAAAAGCTATGCTTAACTTCATTTTTTTATTGTTTCATAATAATACAATATTTGCAGGATAAGACAGATGTACAGCATGCAACCACAACAAATTTGTTCTTGAACAATTTCCCAAATCATATATTAATATACAAAGTTGCAGGGGAAGGTTTGAATTATACCCTGACTAGAAACTGGTATTTGTCAGTACCTACAATCTGTTTTTTATCCAAAATAATTGGAGAGTATGTAACCCACCGTCTTTCATTTCTTTGGAGAGCTGATCATACTGCAGCAGTCTGCTCATGTCTGAGCCCAGATCCTGTTTCAGTATTGACTCCACACCTGTGCGGTCCTCATTCAGTCGGAAATTGAAGTCCCCAAACCAGAAAACCTCATCAAATCGGGTAGTAACGTCAGCTGGAAAATCACCAAAGAGGAGTTATTTCACTTGGCTTTATTTAAGACAAATAGAGCACTGTATGATCCTGATTAATTCTTCTAAAATATACACGTATCTAAAAAAGATAGAATCTTTAAAAATCTTCTTATAACGGCTTTTTCCAACAGCCCTTCAGGTGTTAGTTAATATTATGTTATTAATATGCAATATATTTGACACGCTGTACAATACATGCCAAACACAATTAACTACTTAACAAACACAGATAAGCAAAACTCACATGAGCTTGACCGGTAAGGGTTTGTATCAGGCAGGTCTCTAGGAAGTGCTAATGCTTCAATGATCTTGTTGTAGTCTAGAATCCTCTCGTATACTTTGGAGTCTCCAGCTGTAATGCATGAAAGGCACTCACCAAGAATAAGGAATGGAAACTGCTTAAACCATATTTAAGTGTAAGTTTAGCTCTGCTGCTATACAATTTGATTACCAAAAAATCATAGTCACTATATACTTAATTAACTAAAAACTGATTGACAGGCCTTTGGACCATAAGGCTTGTTGATGATTCTAACATCACCTAACATACCACAAATCTGCATGCACTTCATTTATGAACAGCTACAAAACATCTTGTCTTTACACCGCACACAATCCTACCAGTGCTGCCTGATAATAAAAGTACATTAAACTTACAGGTGAAGTGGGAGGTGATGAAGAGGAAAGATGTGCCAAAAAATGTAAACCCAATTCCTAATGCTCCTTTGGTTTTGATCTGAGAGATGATGCGAGTTGTTACTGTGGCATGTTCAACTTCTATAGAAAAAGCAAACAGCATTTTTAAGAACCACTGGATAAAATAAAAATGTAAGATGTACACATCATTTGCGCCTTAGATTCCTAGGGGTGGTTAAAAACCATCATTCAGCTCACTCCACTTCAAATGAATTCTCAACACAATCTCAACTATCTACTAAAGTACAAAACTTACTGTATGAGAATCAGCTGGTGAACAATTATACTGCACTAATTTACAACAAACTAATTGAGGAGCTAGCTGTACAGAAGTCTGAGTAAATGGATGAACTGTCCATTCAGAAACTAAAACCTCTAAAAGATCATGCTGTCAGGAAGTTGCTACAGTTGCACAGTGCCATTTCTTTTGGCAGATACACATGTATGCTGAACTGAAACTGACATTTCAAGCCCAGACCTGAACAGAACCAGATGAGATCTCTCCTGATGAAGACAGTGAGGTACAGGACACCATGTGCAGCTGCATACAGCATGACATAATAGGGTCCCAGGGTCTCCTGTAGCCGGATTTCCCATTCCCTCCTGAGAAAATAGAATAAACATTTTCTTTACAAACTGCACCACAATGTGGACAATGAATATCACAAATAACTTCAAAAAAAGGTTTTGCAACACTAAATAAAACTGAGGTAGACATATTATGTCTTTCTGCACAATAAAGCTGTTTTATGACCTTGTTATACCAAACTTTTATATCTTAATTGATCTGTATTAATTTAATTAATATTTCAATTAAATTAGGCAGACAAATGAAAAAATGACAAGAAGAGTAATCCTTGCATATGCTAGCTGATAAAATCTAAAATAGGTTTTACCATTTTTTTCCCAGCAATTAGAAGAAATATTTCTCATATAATTATATCTTCATATTCTGTGGTTCATTCTTCTTAATCTATGCGCTTACTTTGTATGTGAACCTAATGTAATATTTGTAGCCCCGAATGCATTCCATGACTTCACATGATTTAATTGCATAAAATATACAGCACAAATAAAATGCAGGATAGTTTTTACTAAATTGCTGCATAGTAGTTAATTTTGCCTATTGGGTTTCTCTTGCACTGTACCTGTCTGAGCAGCCTTCCTGAACACCAATAAAATAGATGTCTTGGGCAAACTCAGAGTCAGCTGGTAGCAACAGATCATCCAAATTAGCAGGAAGTTCCTAAAGAGCAAAATTAAAACTGTTAACTCTCCAACCTTTTACATTTTTAAAGCCGAATGATTCTTGTTATGTCGTCTGTTTTATGTACTAGCTCACCTTTTTTCCTTGCATGTTCCATGTGGCAATGTATATTCCCACTCTCCTATCAGGGAAATAGCGATCCAACTCTTCAGCTCCAAGAAGTGCACCATGACCAAGAACACTGCCTTCCAGAAAGCTCCTGTGACAGAACCGATCAACCACAAGTAGTAAAGCACAGGAAATCTGATATACACTATTATACGCAGGGTACAAGTCATTTATTCAACAAGAATAAGAATAATATTAATTAAAATAACCCCAACACCAACTTAAAACAGAAAACATTTGTTGGTGTATATTTTTACAAGGCCTGTATGATTTGCAATTCAGACGTTGCGCTTATACTAAAACACTAAAAACATTTGATCATAAAAACATACATAATAAAGCAACATTTGTAAAGTGTATGACATAATACATTTATTTATGGTCTTGGAATCCAGAAATTCAGGAAATAGATTTTACTCAGGATTGTCATATAAAAACAGTGTGTTTAGCAACGTAACACACGTACCATACTCCCAGTTTCAGAAAACATTTTTACTGTGTATGAGTAAAACAGTGCTCGTCAACATTCCACTCATTTCCACTCTTGAAAAACGTACCCAAGAATTCACTCCAGTTCTCCACTGACCTCTGTTAGTGGAATTAAAGACACCTGCTGAACAAGCAGCCTTGATCATCCTCACCCTAATGAGATGTTTCTCTAATCTCATGCTCAGTCCCTGAACTCTCTTTACAGCAGTATTATTTTAGAAACTGCACAATTTATAATAAAATAAAACTGCCTCTGTTAGCAATAGCTACACTAGAACATGAAGTACATTCAGATAGGTGATCCTATTTGCTCCAGTTGTATCAAAAAACTACTTTTAATCTGCACACACACAGTACTGTTTGACATGATTTATCCTCACATCCGACTAAAATAAACAAAACCAATATAAGTCAGAGATTTCTGACATTCCACATTTCAGACTAATATTTTGAAGATTTTGATTCTATCAAGTCAAATGCCTTGGAATTCAAACTGAGCTAAATGTTTTAATGCTGTAAAGTTTTCCATCCACACAAAACATACTACCCTCACATTCAAGATATTTGACACCAGTACCTAGTTATTGAACATACAGTCTATAAAAAGATAAATCTAATAAACTGAAAATACATTTTGCTCAAAGAAAGCTATTTCAGCAAGTGTACCATAATATATAGCTGCAGTAGTATAAAAAGAAGAGATACTACGACCTACAAAATGATTTAAAAAACCCAAAACATACCTATTCCGTACATCCTTGGGTCGAATGGGATTTAGCACACTGAGTGTAGACTTCATGGAGCTCAATGAAGTGTTGTCTGACACCATACTGTCCAAGAGCCTGTATTCGCTGAGGCTGCTGTGCTGCCTCTCGTATCCCCTCTTTCCTATCACAGCATAATCCACACAATCCTGATCTATCCTATTAGCTGTCCTTAAGGAAGTGGAAGCCATGTTGACTCCTACGGGGGGTAAAGATCCAGGATGTTGCAGAGGTGACAGCTTTGTCTTTGAAGACATGATAATCTGGTGTTGGGTGTCCCCCTTAAGGGGAAGAGTGTGACAGGAGGACCTCTTCCCAGGATCAGAATGGCTGCTGCTTATGTTCCTGGATTTACGGAGCAGGAGCTCTGTGGAGCTATTCTGATCATTGCCCAATGATGCCTGCCTGTCCTGAAGAGCAAAGATGCTGTTCAATAAAGAATGGCCAGATTTTTCATCCTGAAGGGAGTCTGTTGAAGACCCAGTCCCCGTTGGGTCAGTTAGACTGTCCTGGCTGGTTCTGAGCTTTCTCCTTCTCAGTTTCTCTTCATTCGAAGCTCTTGTCCCCAGGCTTGATTGCTCAGAAGGCTTTGGAAGAAGGGGTGGTCTTGGTAAATGTGGCCTCTCTTTTGTCATGACCCCACGGTCCGTCTCATCTGGAGGAAACCTCAAGGTTTCATTCAGATACCTGTCACTCATGTATCCTTCTGCATCTGCGTCCTCTTGCTTGCTATTTTCCTTCCTGCCGAACTCTACCTGATCTTCAGCATTCAGTGTCCCCGAGGGATACACACCATTCAGAGGCTGAGACGAGCTACCATTTTGAAGGTTCATTCTCATCTCCTTAACGTTACAGCTCCAGTTATTGGTAACTCAGTCCTGGAGTTCCTGAGACATTTTTGTGGCTTTACAGGGAAAATGTAACATTGTGGAATATTGCTACTACTTTCCTTAAAGAGAAATTTGGATGTTTGAATGGATACCTGACTGCGAAGTCACTTGAGAAAGGTTCTGAATAATTTACACTCAAGCGTTAATTATTAAGAACTTTTACTTAATGGCGTTGGTGAATGTGAATGCAACTTGTGATCATAGTTTCAATTGTTTTAAGCATCTGCTGGTGGCACTCCTAGTTTCAGCGATATGCAGAGATTTTGTATCAGAAAGATCAAAAGCAACACCTGTTGAAAAAAATCAAAAACATTTAGCACATTTACCATTGTTTCTAATTTCAAAAACTCCTATAAACTGAAAGAACTGAAAGTTCAGCACATATTGATCCACAATGAGCTTACTAGTACTCTAAGTCATGCTGAACGCACGCACACTTCCTTGTTTTCTAAACAGTGTTGCTATAGTGGTGCTTACCACACTTCATTCGTGACAGTGATATGTATTTGAAAGAAATGACAAAAGAGTTTCTGCCTATTTAATACATACTCCGGCACCCTGCCCGTTATGCTTTCTTACACCAATAACTGCTGAACAGGTCCCGCTAAGGCAACTAAACACTAAACTTTTGCTCTACGAATAAGACCACTGACACTGAAAGGCAGGGGGCTAGCAAAGTCTGCGTCAATGTTACGCACAATAAAGACTATTCATAGTAAAGCATAAAAACGTCAGTGTTGTTAGCTGTAGATATATTCATAATTACAATCTGAAAAATTAAGAACTGTTACCAATATTCAAAAAATTCTGCTGCCTTTAAATACTATTGCTAAGCTTGGACTAACAATGCAACAAAAAGATACAAGCATCCCACAATTGCTGTTATGCAGCTTAATAATAACGTTGCCACTTTAGGGGTTTTAGTGAAGATGTATTAAAAACATTGTGTACATGCACATTTTCTTATCTAATAAAATTGTATTGAAGATTTCTAAGTAAACGACTTAAGCGAACAAAACTGACATAGTAACGAAAACATCGAACTATTAACCCAAACAAAATTTATCGTTGTTTTCAAAATCTTATAATTCAGTTAGATTCCATGTTTCGTCTTCTAATCCATTCAATTTAAGTGTAATACAACGCATAACTAATTCGTTCGATAAACATGAAATACCTTAGGTTGGCTCACAACACTATGGCAAATTCATCCGCGTACGCTTCCTTAGTAACAGCACCGCTTTGTTACCAACAAGTGAGGCAAACGAGCAAGGGCGATTTTTTCCGGCTACATCCGGTAGGTACGGATCCCACAGCGCCTCGTTCCACGTGGAGGACGTACAGAAAGTTCCACTTGCACAACAAGCCGATTTTATACTTATTTGCTTCTGTATCTTCGATTTCTGCTGGCAAAAATGTGTGAACTACCGATAAAAGTCTTTGCTATCTCCAATTGAGAAATGCATGTACAAGACCCGGTTAACAACTCTATTTAAAGCCCACTGTATTTTAACACTTCTAAAACTTGGTAGTTAGTAGAAGAATAACATTTAGCGTTATTAAAAGTTATGTGAGATTTCCTCGTCTTAATAGATTTCACTTAGATGGATGTTTGAGGATTTATGAGGGCTGATATTCACTGTTGGTCTAGCTACAGTTTATTTTTGCATATCTATAATCTACGGTATGGCATCCCCACTATATGAAAGGCATAGCTTTTTTCCCACCATTCTTCTTTAAAGTGCCCCCGTAATTCAACTGGTAAAGGATTTTCTCACTCTCCTGCCTGATCTATTGTGCAGTGGGACTGGTGTGACACCCAGGTTTGTGCTGCAAGTCAACTGTGATTTAAGTGGGTCTCCTCCTATATGTAAAGAACTTTGGGATGAAAAACGCTAAAAACATGCAACACATTAGTTGAAAGATGAGAAATATTGAACTTTTCAAATTATATTAGTGTTAAGTTTTGCTATTTACATTTTTATCAATAAATCTGTAAATCTGATATAATAAAAAAGTGTTCATTGGTTGAATACAGAAGGATGAACCCAGAGCTCAAACCTTTTGAGTACTTGAATGACACTCATTGTATTTAAACTTCGGGAACAATTTAGAAACTGTTTAAAATGTTTCACGGGGCACAAATGTTGATATGTTAAGGGAAAATTAAGGGGATTATGGGGAAATTGGGTATGTGGAATCATAAAACAATCACACACATTTCAAAGTGCTCCAGAGCTCAAAATATTTTTATTTTTTTTTGTTAAGAATCTTACAGTGTCAAATTCTAACACCTTTAGGAAAAATAAGAGCTCCCTTTCAATGAAGGAAGCCTTCTGAATTAAAAGTTTTCAGCAGTCTACATGGAAATACAGCTTCAGGAACTACATCAAAGCAAGGGCCGGGATACATTAAGAAAGACAGGAGAGAAAAAAAAATCACAAAGATGGAGAGACTGAGGTCAGAGCAAAATCAGTCTTTTTTCCCCTCAATAATCCTGAAACCATCTTTTCAGATGCCTGAACACTGGACTATCTATAGGTTTTAAACTGTGAGATGAGGTTAAATTAGAAACAAGTTAATTGTGTAGCACACTGACTACAGGCCATAAATACAATCTAAATCAGATATACAAATATTTGGAAAGATTTCTGACAGTGAAAAATGGTTTCTCAATGTCAAGTTTTGATGTCAGCTCTCTAAACAGCACTTACCAGTATTTTGTAGGGCCTTTTATTACTTTTAATCATGGTAAAAGTTATTTTAATTAAGACCTTGGTTAATCATAGCATATGTGTAGGGCTAAAAGTTAAATAACATTCCAAACACTCCTTAAGTGGTAAACACCAATAAAGTTTGATCAATCTGCTGTCATGCTGTATCCCCTCCTAAAAATATTTAATCACAACTCCTTGACAGAAAGCTGATATAATATTGCACTTAAAGAAAATCACACTGTTCATTCTCCATTAGATACCTATATTCTTTAACTGTTTAACTGCTTTTTTTACTTACAGCAGATTCTCAAAGAAACTATATAGTGGATTAATAAAAGCAGGCCTTATGTTTTTAAACAGGTTTTATTCACAAGATTTCATTCTAGTCACAGTTTCAGCACTTGGGTTTGAAATAGGGACTTATAGTATCCATTTATCTGTTTTGAAAGGATACAAGACAAAGCTCCTGTGTTGTTCAAACTTGCGTTAACAAGGTTCGATTTTAATTTTTCAACGGCTAAAAATAAAAAGTTCTTACATTAAAATGCCTTTTGATCCTCACTCAGTTATGGTGAGAAAAAACACCAAATTATTCTGTAGACTGAGGTCTTCACTACCACCACCAAACGTAAGATCTTCATTTCTGTTTCTTCATTGTCTTTCATACTGCCTGTTATTGAGCAGATCAATAAGGAACAGTGACATTCACAATAAATATTTTTATTTTCTCAATGTGATTCTGAATTAAATACTGAAATACATAGATTAAGCTTCCTTTCACAATAACAGAATGAATTTTAGTTCCGAACTATTTAATATTCACACTACAAATCACTGAAATCAATGTTTCTCAAATCTTGGACTGTTGAGCATCATGGATTAGGGAAGTGGAGGAATCAACATCAAAATAAATAATACTTCCAATAAAAGTGGGCTACATTCGGGCTGTTGGGTTTTTCCAAATAGAACTTAGACTGCACCACAGTAGGCAGAATCTCCACTGCTTGTTGAAGGAAAGGTCTCCTTTAGTACAGCAGTTTTTGCCAATCTTACATTTATTCCTTATCAATTCACACCTGGTGTCTAAATAATAGGTCGTATTAAATACCCAGATGAGCAGTTAAGTTCAATGGTTAGCCTACAATGGCACGACTGCTAAAAAAAAGGCACCTTCAATTTCTCCAAACAGCAAGCTTATGTGTTTAAACAAACACAGCATGTGATGATCTAATAAAACCTTTCCAGCCTGGAAGAAGTCACTAGCCTAAGAATCATGACGGAAAATTCACAGAGGCTCACATCATTCTCTTTAGCCCTACTCAGAGCTGCCACCCCCAAATGGGCCAGTACAGCACACTTCATGAGAGCAGGGATATTTCTAAATACAAGCATGAACATTTTCCATGAATTCTGAATGCTAAAAATAAATTAAGAGATGTGATATGACTATTGCTAATGCAATACAGAGTGAATCTGGACAACTGGTAGTGAAATGAAAAATGGTTGTATACTTATATGAGTTTCCCTAATTACATAGCATGAATGAATGTCACGATGCCTTATTGTCTGCCTGTAGCACTACATATGTTTTTCATTTGGTGGGACTGGGCTCTACTTCAGTACTGGGTACTTCCTCTGGCCGAACTTCCCCGTCCTCGCTCCTCCCGAAGGTGCAGTTGGCTACCAAAGAAGCAGATTAAAAAAATAAACATCAGATTCCGGTCACTGGACTGAGCTGAAGTGCACATAGAAAAAATGTGTGACCCTCTTCCTTCAAGAATATACAGAAGTATAGAAATGAGAACCAGCCCTCTGGCTCTCCATACTCATGTGGTTCCTAGAAGGATCTTGTCCAAGTATTGTATATCAGGAAAAAAAAAAATCAACATGGGTGGTTTGGTTTCAGACCCCCTCAACCTGGACTGAAACACCTGTCCTCACTTCCACATTTAGTATAATAATCAATGTTTATATATCAATGCCTTCTCCAAATGTACCAAACAACGATTCTTCATGGCAAGCACTGAGTGGAATGAAGTGCCAGTGTATCTGATTGGGACTGTACAAAGAAAACTTTATGAGCACCAAAGCTATAACACGACATAAAAAGTAATCTGTTTGAGATACTTGTCAAATAACTTTGAAATAAGCTGCATACCAGATTTTTTTAAGTCCAGCTTGATTTTGCTAGAATTTTACTTCAAAAAACACCATTTTCAGGTGACTATTTCTGAGTTAGGGTTACAATAAAGATTTGTGAGTGCTATAATGTTAAAAAATATCCACCAATCTGGTGTCCTTGTATGCCAATTTGAAATGAGGTCAATGAAAAAAACTGTAGAAGTGTAACAAGGTATGTAAACCAACAGAGCTAAAAGTTTCCTTGTGAGTTGTAGAATCAGTTCCAGTTCCTGAAAATTACAGATGACATGTCTAGGCTAAGCTACATAGCAGCCAGAAAACAACTGGATGCAAAGTGCTCCTGTCATTAGACATAGAACTGTTCCTTACCTGTGCAAACTGAGAGGGGTTATAGAAAGCCACACCTCCAGCTATCGGACCCTCTTGAACATGTGGTTGATTAGGGGCCTACAAGAGATAGGATGAGTTAACTAGGCTGCTGTTTTTTTTGGAAAAACATGATTTATTCCATGGGTGTTTAAACTATCTAAATCAGTACAGAAGTTCATAGTCAATAAATTTAAGTTAAATAGATTAATAACATTTTATAAATGGTAGCAGTACAGAACAAAAGCTGTTACGCTTGACTAATTAAAGCCCAAGACTGAACAGCAGACAGATACGTTTCCACTTTTGATTTGAACCTTTTTCTTATCCATGGAATAAATGAAGAGCAGTGTTAGTGACACAGGTGACCTCACCTCATTTGCAGGCGATGAAAACAGGTGTTCTTGACTCTTTCCAGAAGTGAGATTAAACTTCTTTTCAGAACATTGCATTAAACTTTTTTTTGTTACTGTAAACCAAATCTATCGTAATGATGACAAACGATGAACATCTGTTTATGGAAAGTGTTTTTGTCTCTCCTTCTGAGCCAGTTGATACTCGTTAATGGCAAAGCATGCAGAGCAGGGGTAGGGTTAAATGGTTATTGGAAGCACAGCGGCTCAGTCTTACAAACAGTGCTGCATTCAGACCAAGGAACAGTGACAGCTCTTTGCCTTCAGCATTGGGATAACTCCAATTGCAAACTGGCAAAGCGCATGACATACAACAAGAAAAGGCGCTGCAAGATTGCATCGTGCTGATGTCCAAAAAAACAAGCATCTGGTTTACAAAATTAGACTAACTTGGTCCACTATACTAATTATAGGACTACCAAATCAATATGAATACAACTGCAAAATATAAGTTTATAAAAATGCAGAATGTTCTAAGATCACATTCTAAGCGAGAAAGAGCAGTTGACTGAAATAATTCAATGAAGGGCTGGCTCTTATTGTCACTGAAGAAAATCGGCTAATGCAATGCTAAAGGCAGAGGCTGCGGACTCTGTGACGCGAGTATGTGCAAAATAAGCGTGCAACAGCGAAATGCCAGCTATAGGTACCTGGTTTAAATGCTGGCTCACTTCACGAGATAAAGAACTCATTGAGCTAGAACGCGAGAGCTACAAAACAGCAAAACAAACATACAAACGAGATGAACCTAAAGAATTCCACATGCATGTCACGGCCAAAAGCCTCTAGTATTGAGAAACAATTCTTCAATTCAATTTCAATTCAGCATTTTTAAATGCCAGGAGAGCAATAAGAGTAATTGTGGTTTAGTAAAAACCACAAAGCATGACACCATTCACATTATTCGTTTTTAATTGGGTTAATATTACACAGTTTTTTATTTTTTTCTAATTCAAATAAAATTATAGGAATGATTCCATTTCAATTTTTTTAGACCTGGCACCTAAACTTTTACCATGCTCCCATTATTAGTTCAAGTTAATTATCATAGTACTCCCAGATACATTCTCACGCACACCAAGCATTTTTGGCCTCTAAGCAGATTTTATCGATATGTTCTGCAATCACAGTTGATTTACAGTTCTAATTTACAGCAACATCAATCTACATGAATTAACAATTTTAAAACCTCCAGACACACCAATAGTATGACAAAGGTTAAATGTCTCATGCAAATGAAGTTACTGGATCTATTTTTGAAACCTTTTGCTGGGAAACGCCTGTCAGAATTAGACCCTGTTATGGTGAGGAAATGGGGAGGGTGAGTGGGTAAAAAGACTTGTCTGCAATGTCAGCGGTTATTCCTACCTCCCCTGCCTGTGTTGCGTCTGTATTTGACGTTCCTTCTGTGCTGGGAGTATACAATCCCGGGTTATAAAACTGTAGGAAAAACAAAAATACGTGACCACTAGAATTTGTCACTTTCAAAACACATTTAGCCTTACTTAATCCCTCACTCTAAAGAACTCTTATGTTCTAAAGAGCAGAGGATATTGCCAATGCTTTTTTGGGGAATCCCCTCATATTACTTATTGAACAAATGTGGGATTATCAATGATACAAAATCAGCTTAAAGCTCTACCAATCCTGTATTGTACATGGAAAATGAAGACTTGCAAACACACTCAGCTTTTAGAGCTTTTCACCTTTGGACATACTGCAAGCTCCAAAATGTCTTTAAGGACAGTGCGCTCTGATTGGAAGAACAACATGTCTGTTACTAGAAGTTTGCTGGCACCTATCGAGACAAAGTCTTGAGTAAGGCTGAGAAGACCTACAACTGACAAAGACCCAATTTTACCTCAGAACCACTGCAGTAATGCAACTTATACTCATCAAAAGCCTCTATTCTCCCAGATGGAACAGATCTTGACTAGAAACTAGAAACTGTTAATAATCTCTTACTTGAATAGGTCTTTCTGACACATGTTTACCAAAATGTCCAATGCAATTTAAATGACACCTTAAACAATCCTTGCAAGATCTTGCCCAACATGTTGTTTATATCATTACACAATACTTGCTTAATACAATCACTTAGTCATCTGTTTCCTCTACCCTTCTCTTTCCTTTCAAATTCTAGCTACAAGTGGAACTTATCAACTTTTTAATTTTATACAGTTCAAGAAAATCTTACAAAAAAGTAAGAAAGCAAGCCAATGAAAGTATATGAAGTAAGCCAATTGACTTTAGGTGGTTCTAAAGAAATGTGTAGAACTAGACTAAAATCAAGAACAGGAAGATGCATGTGTTAGTGATGCAGGTGCTGAACAATTGTTAGAAGCTGTGGCTAGGCTTCGCATACTCCTGCAGAACATCACAGAACATGGAAACTTGTTTATTAAAATAAAAATTAATAAGATTATCTGGGATCCTTCACAAAATGCCTGGATGAACTTTTCCTATCAATTAATTAACTATACTAGCAACATAGATCAAATAGCCTCGCCTCCTCTAGTGGGCAACCCTTCTAATGTTCTTACTTAAAAGCTCCTTTCTATAAGACCTTTAAGAATTGGCAATGGATCTGGAAGCAGCTTTGATGATGTACTCACACACTCTGGGTCATACCTGAGGCTGGGAGCTTGTATCCGAGATGGTCTGCCCTGTGTTCTGCTCCGTTTCTGGTACACTGCCTTCTGTAGGCTGCTGACTGTCTGCAGATGCTGGAAAAAAAACATTTCAAGTGATATTTAAAACATATATTGCTTGATAAATATCCAGATTTTCTATTATAATAACAGAACAGCAATTGTACCTACTTATGTCTCGGGTATACAGTATATTATTTAAGTTCAAATAGGCAGCTGCATTAGCATGAGCAGACTGCAAAGGAAAAAGTAAAGGTTTAATCCATGCTGAAAAAAAGAGACGGTTTGGCTGTGGAGCCTTCTTCAGGTGTGACACTTTGTGTCTTTTTTTCAGCTTGAAAGAAACCTTTTCTTATTCCTTTGCAGTATATTATTTATAGAATTTGGCTGACGGTTTTATCCAAAATGATTTACATGTGCACCGATTTATACAGCTGTGTATTTTACTAGCACAATTTAAGCAAAACATCTTTCTCAAGGGTACAACAGCAGTGTCTCACCTGGGATTTGAACCCTCAACCTTCCAGTTACAGGTTCAGATCCCTGAGCGCAGTTCCACACTGCTGCCCTTGTGTATGTAAAGGATGAAGGAATAAGACGTCTGGCTTGAACACAAAATGAGGATGAAAACCACCATTCACTTCCCTTCCCTCTGAACAGACGAAACCTAATGATCTACCTAATTAGCAATAAGGTATTACAGGACTCAACAGATCATGTGAATACAACGCAGTTTTAATTTTCTTTGTTGAATAGGTACAGACCTGAACTTGGTATAAACAGGTTAGTGGGAATGGGCATTGGAGCCAAAGGTGCAAACAGATCTGCAGGGATGGGACTGGGCTTGGGCCCTCCGGGATTCAGAACGTCAACGTACCGGCTCCTGGTTCCTGGAAGACAAACAGAAGCATTGCTTTTCTCAGAAGCCACTTTCAACTCAGTTAAACCTGCTATTTTCACAAACTCTGCACATCTTAGGGATATTACAAAAGAGTTTCCACATATCGCTAAACTTCTCTTTTCCCAACATCTTAACCCTGTGGTCATTAAAAATCCCAGGGCATTTCTCAAAAAAAGTAGGGATGTTAACCTTTGTGTCCTGGCCAAATTTCCCCCTGGCTTTTACCAATCTTGGCCTCCTAATAACCCCATCTATGAACTGGTTTCATCACTCTGTTCTCCTCCCCACGGAGAGCTGGTGTGTGGTGAGCGTTCTGGTGCACTTTGGCTGCCGTCACATTGTCCAGGTGGGGCTGCACCACCTAGTGGTGGTGGGGAGTCCCTATTACCTGCGAATCACTTTAAGAGGAGTGTTCAGAAAAGTGCTATGTAAGTTTAAAGAATCATTAGTTCCCAAGCTTATTAAAAGGAGAGACTGGTTTTAGCCTAATTTACAGAGATCTTCAGTCAACTAGGTTAAAAGATGGATTCCTGCATTTTGAAGATCCACTTAACTGAAAGGATTTGAATTTGAAACAACACGATGACTTTTCAAGCAAAGGCATTGAAACTCAAAGTACTCTGAACAGATATAAACGCACCAGCTTTTCTTGAGAAAATATTGACTGGGGGGGCCCCACTGGGTGGGCCAGCAGTCGCTCCAGGCCTCTGCTGAGGGGTCAATTTTGGAAAGCTTGTGGGAGGAGGGGGAGGAGGCTTGCTCTGGTAAAACAAAAATATTAATGATTTTAGATCATTTCAAAGTCCTTGGCTTTCTCAATTATAATGATTTCTAACGAAGAGTAAAAAAAGGAAATAGTGACTTATTTCAATCCTACTACTGCAAAACAGCATCTGCTGTGGGAAAAAAAATGTACATTTCCTTATTGCAAAGTCATTTTTTTTGCAAACAGCATTGTTTTGACTTCCATATATACCCACTGGAGCTTAAAAGAATTCCATTTGTAACATTAGGACAATAAATGTGTCATGATTCTTAAACCTGGAAGTCATATGGATGTAACTAAAAACCTAACTTTGAACTCAAGTATCCACAAACAAAAAGGAGGCTAAATTATAAGAAAAACAGAACCAATGAACAGAAAAGACAGATAAATTTTACTATACCTCCTCTTCTGGTTCGTCAAGATTAACCCATCGTTTTTTATTCTCATCCCATACAATCTGAAGCAAAATGAAAAAAAGGTAAGAAACGTAAGTGTCTACCATGGCCTTAAGATAAACTGAACTTTTAGTAAACATTCAATATGAAACCAATATATCATATCCCAAGATGCATCTTGAGAAAGTAAAATTAATCATGGCAAGTTTAGCCATTTCTTATCCAAGGAGAATGACCGATTCAGGACTTTGCATTGGTCCAGTGCAGAAAAACCCCACTCGAATTCATTACCGACTTGTTCTTGTCATCTGGTAGGTAAGCCTCATTCCTCTTGCGGTACAGCCAGTTCAGCCACCCTCCTGCTCCTCCTCCCTGTGTAAACAAGGGTAGATTAGTGAAGTAATGCACCCAACATTATCATCAACATTTTGCACGTCATTCCATGTTCATACATATGGAAACAACAAAGGACTCCATAAAAGGTTTTCACTTTTTCACATTTTTTTCCCCATTTCACACTGTAATGACTTAATTAAACAAAAAAGACTGACAAGAATTCACTGCCCTTTCATTGAGGTTAAAAGGCTGCACCAACGAAGGTCAAAGACAACTGAAGAACCACATGTCTCTATAATAGGCCTCTAAAAAAGCCAGGTAAATTGTGATGAAACCAAGATCCATGTATGACAAAGTAATTGATATAGACTAAACATTCAGAATCCATAAGACTTACTAGTAAAAGTGTATGGTCTAAAGCAACCTACTGAAATGTTCTTTGGATGAGACCTGCTGTTTCAACAGACCTTTTTGGGCGAGTCCTTTTTGGTGGCTGTCTTGGAGTCTTCTGATTTGCTCACTGGTTGCTCTGGGATGGATGGAGGGGGAGGGGAGGGCTGCTTCGCTGCTGAATTGCTCCGGTCCCGCCCCACTGAGTTACTGGAGGACTCCGAGGTGGTGCGGGACCTCCTTCCATAACCCTGGGTGCAGATGGGTTAAAAATACATCATTAGATGGTGTTACAATAAACAAAACAGATTTATTGTAGATTGCAAACAAAATGTTAGACAACAGTAACAGCAATTAAAGAGTCACAGAAAAATGAAGAAAAATGCAGGAAAAGCATGAGCTGGCCATATGAAACTGATCAATGCTTATTTTAATAAAGAACAGTTACTGCAGGCATGAGAGAAAAGCATGTTAAATTGTGAGCCATCCAAGGGATTTACTACAATTTTGATCATCTGAATTTATTGTGTTTATTTAATTCATCAATGTCAGAGGAAAACAGTTGCTTCTTAAAGAGAGATGTGCTGGCAGACAGAGAGGAATGGGAAAAACAGGTGGAAAAGTCACTGGAAAAAACAATCAAGTGGTTAAAATAGTCAGCTGGATTAGGTCATACCATGTGCATTGAAGACTGTGAAGTAGATCGAGATCTCCTTCCCGGCCCCTGGTTAGATATAAAGTCGCACAAACTGCTAGTAAATGACAAATTCAAAACAGAACATTCAAACCATCCATTCCGAATTTTTTAACAGGTATCTCGCAATTTGATTAGGAAAGGCAAATCAACTGAAGACCATAAGCTCACACATTACATACAACAGATATCAACAGCAAGGTAACATTCCCAAACCGCTTATCAGTGTGAGTCTCAAAGTAAAAATGTACACATTTACTTACCATAATAGCCATGTGGTCATAGAAATCCATTGGTCCTTGAGTGAATGTACTTCTGGATGGAGAGGATGGCTGGGAATTCAAGTGGATGTCTATTTTTTTTAATTAAAAAATAAATTTGTTTCAGGTACTGATGGCAGGATATTTCATTTTAGTTGACCATCAAACCAAGTGTCAAGACTAAAATTTTCATAAGTCACAGTTAAAAAACCTTACATGATCTGAGGATCTGATCATTATATAACTGATTAAATTATCAGCTATGGTTCTCTATTTCACAGGGGTATTTACACTGGTCCTCTAAGTGGTAATGGCCACACGGTAACATCAAACAATGTAACATCAAGCACAATTGGAGAGCAAGAAAACTGTAACTAAGTCCCAACTCCTGAGAAAGGAACTGGAAGTACCGTGTTAATTATATGCTCCGGGTACTTTATGAATTAGAAAGTCATGTTGTATACATCATGATTCATGCCATGGGAAAGCAGCAGGGTGAACTAGTATTTACACCGTAGCCAACCACATCTTGATCACCTGTCATTCAAGTGTGATTTACCATGGTAACATTGTACATTCGATTCACAGGAGGTTGAAGCACCTGAGGTGGAAGTGATGAGTGACTGCCTCCAGGTGGTACAAGACTCCTGTCAATGTAGTTACCATGGTACCTGGTGCTTGAATAACATATGATTGTGATGTGGCTGGCTACCACTGAGTACCATACCATAATTTGCCCTGCAACTGATTCACCACAACGCATATGAAAATATACCTAAGGAGCCTGCTGACAGGTTGACACTGAGTTTTATGAATTCTAATTTTAATACTGTTTTTTTGGAGATGGGAGTTCTGGATGGATAATCTTCTGTTATATGAACAAAATGCAACACATTAAACGTTAATAGAAAGACTGTTGATCTGTGGTTACTAATTTCATATCTTAACAATGCTGCAATATCAGCTTCCAAGACTTCTACAACAGCTTCACATTGACATAGGATTCATTGCTTATAAGGACCAAGATTTCCCTGGCAAATCAGATAAAAGGATGAATAATATTCTTAACGGTATAGAGATGGATATTTCCTCAGAGAAATACAGTCTTATCCTCACTTCTTGAACATCAGCACTCAAGAATAACAGCAAACACAAACCAGTATTGATTTTATTCCCATCTTGGGACCTGAGAGCTGACCTGGCTGGTGATTCTGCTGTCGCTCTGGTACAGTGGGTAATGTCTCTGATGGGGGCATTTGTAGTGGCATATGCTGTCCTGGGTACATCTCATGCTGCTCCTGCTGGTTAGGGACCCCATACCCAGGTGTTGGAGGTGGAAACCCTGGGCCCTGCGAGGGAGGGACAGGCCCGGGCACCGGGCACAGGGGAACAGGTGGCACTGGGTAGAACTGGACACCCCCTTCAGCTGGAGGTGGCATTATGGAAGGCATTGTGCCATCAAGGATAGTTGGAGGTGCTGTGAAACGAAAATAAGCATCAAGTAATGGAAGACCTGACAACATTCAGAATTTCCATTCAATCGAAGCTGAAAAGAATCTAGTAGAAGATTTAGGAGTATAAAAGCTCAGGCCTCTACGTTCAAAGAAAGCTTCTACCCCACAATTATAACACTCCTAAACTCCACCTCTTAAATCTGCCTGCCACCACTCACACCTCAGTTTTTACCCTGAACTCAAATACTGCTACTATATGAGTCTTGCACACTGCTGTTATCTGAATGCTGCTTAAAGTTATAGTTCCTGTCTCCAATAATTTGTAGTCATTTGTTGTACCATCTATTATATCACTTCTCACATAAGGAAAACACACAAGTAAGCATTTCATTGTACTCAGGTAAATATGACAAACTTAAACTTGAAATTTCTGCTTAGCTGTGCTCATCAGCTGATACAGGATGGCAGCATGCTTTAAATGTCTAATAGATTGTGCTATCCATATAATATCCACTGAACTAACAATTATAATATCCATGCAAAGTATTCACTACACTACTGGAATAAGCAATATTATCATGCTAGTTTCATGCTAGCATAGAACAAAATCCTCAGAATGAGGACTGAGTAATTTTATTTTTTCAGAACCCCTGGTCCTATAGAAGTGTGCATTGATGGTTCTTCATGGAAATTAAAGTCTACCAATAGTCAAGAAAAACTAGCAAATCGTCCTTTTGTGGAAGGGGGGTCTGAAACTCTACCTGGTGGCACAAGCTGCACTTGTGATCCTGGATTTGGCATAAAAGATGTTGTAGGGGGGATCTCTGGGGCGGCGCCATTAACATCCTGAGACATTCCCAAGCCATCAGGAGGGCTGGGCTGGTCGAACTCAGAGCTGGGGGTACTAGATGCATATTGCTGGGGGGTGGCTCTGTCCAAGCTGTACATGATTGCACCATCCTGTCAGGAAGGCACAGGAAATTCAAGTTCACCATTCCGTAGCGCAATATTACAAAATCACATAAAATTACATTTTCTAAACGTATACAGACAAAACAGGCAATAGACAAAAGAATACAAATAAATATAAACCTAAATCTTGAAAAAGACAGCTCTAATCTGAATTTAAAGATTAAATTTAAAGATTTTAAAGCAATTTCCCTTATTGATTGTAGAATGTATTCACCAGCCCAAGTGCAAAGGCATAGAAATCCCTGTGAGACATTGGTCTTTGTCTGGCCTTGGGACACAAAAAGTCCAGCATGAGAGGACCAAATGATGTGTCACGGAAACTTATAACTGTAATAGGACTTTTATCTCCCACACTGTGCCCCTTGAAACATGCAACCAGTCATATGACACTTGCGGTATAAGCACAAGCTAAGAATTGAACTATTACGAAGAAAATTAGTGAAATCCCACTCAAAGTTATATTCTAGTCCGTAAAATGTCTATTCCCTCTGCCTCCCACTTTGGACCACAGAAATTCATACCTTGTTCCTGTATCAGGATTTTTTTTTTTAAGACAAACATATGGGAGGAGAAAATGTGTTTTTCTGATTAGGTTGAATGTGAATGTTCAGCCCAAAAAAAAAAAAACAGTGAAAATCTGTTTTTGTCCCATTTATTCTCAGACCCGCAACAGAACTAGTTCTAAATTATTACCTCAATCTTCCTATGCATACACCAAGAATATAATACCCCTCTTCAAGATTTTTAATTTTCTGAATTTGTAGGGAACAAAAGTTCAATAAGATTCTTTATATATACCTTTATTTGACCATCCAATTGGCGCAACTGAATCAACCAATCAGGCTCTATAAACAACTCCTGCTCAGGCTTCTCCTTTAGCTGAGGATCAAAGAACCTCATTTTCGCAGACATCTAAATTGAAAACAAAGAAAGAGAAAGAAGTCAGGGTCAATCGGGGATGTTCAAAGGAGACAAATGTGTCCTATATACAAGGTTTACATTTACCTGAATGAGCTGGCTCACAAACATGGGAGAGTAGTAGGATGGGTGACTGAGGACAGTTCTGGATATGACCTCACAATAATGGAAGGCCTGTGCAGACAGCCCCACCTCAGCCAAACGGCAGGCATAAATGAACTTAAAGACCTGGAGAAGGTAACAAAAAAGCATTGCATTCTTAATTTATTTAAAAGGCTATTATACAGCAATTGTTGATCTCTAGACCTTATCATTCTGCACGTCAGTGTACCTCTCCTAAGTTCAGGGGAGAGAAGGCTATGAATGCCCTTGGAAATATGAAGTGTCATGTCCTGATCTTGCATCCATGCCATAAGCTTAAGTCACCACAGCTTTAAGGTGCTGGCAGGAGAATAGATGCAGCTCTCATAGATTCTACTGCAATCTCACAGGCACCTAGCAGACCACAGAGGCTGTTGTAAAGCAAGGACATAACACCCCAGCTAACTCATATCTATCCAATATGATGATGCCATGTCAATTGTGCACCATCATTTTCTGTATCTCAGCCAGAATCAGTTAATGGCAGTTTCAAACAGATCTCAGCCTTTCCTCTAGACAAGATGTCTTTACTGCCTGAGCTTTACAGATGCGATGATTATCTAATTGATCAATTCCTGTCTGAGCTCACTGTTGCACAACAGCCCCAGTACAATTAGTCTTACAGGTCATCCTATATCACCTGTCTTTTAATGATATGAAACATTTATCCAATTAAAAAGTTTTTCTCCAACTAAGAGACTACTGGTCTTTAAAGGAAACTGAAGATTCTGATTTTTTTCCCCAAATGATCATTTAATTACTTAATTTAACAGATTTGATCCTAAACTGAGATAAACTGTTCCAAGTCATTATAAAGGGATCATTGCAGGGTTGCCTGTGAAACCTGCTGAATAGCAGGAGATGGATTGGGGATGGATTGGGGGAAATAAGCACATACCTGAAAGTTCGGCAAATAGCAAGGCTGAGAGCCCAAAGACTGCGCATACTCATACGCTTCTGTTCTCTGGATGGCTTCATTGGAGGCAAACCTGAAAAATGGCAAGCTGGGAGGGGTGGAAGAGTAAAACAGTAGTGAAAAAAAGAATCAGAAATGGAAGGTTAAAAACTATTTGTGACCTCTGTAATTATACAATGTTGCTTCATATCTTACCTGTGATTTGCTCCTATCAGAACCATCTTAGTAGACTTCTTGGTGTAAACACCAAGCCCAACCTGGGCCATTATGTAACAGAAATGAGCAGCATCTATCAGCCCTTTTGACGCTGAAATGGCAAAAGGAACTAATGTTAAGACACCAACACTAAAGAAAGAAAATACAAATTAAAAACTTACTGTTTTTTTTACATGGGAATGTACACAGAATTAATACTCCTGTAACTAAAGATCTATTTAAAGAAGTTACCTTGGTTAACATGGTTAACACAATCTCGTAAACAAGGACAGCAATTAGGAAGATATAAAAGACCAGTCAGACAGAACAGTATTTTGCAATCAAACATTTCTTTAAAAAAAAAAAACAGATGTCTGTTAAAATGCACCCAAGCTTCTGGAATGAATTATTCGGTTTAATTCAGACTCACCAAGGGTGTCTCCCATAGTAGCAATGGTTCGGGTATCCAGATCCAGGGTGTGGGTGAGATTTGACAGCACCATAGCCAAGTGTGGTCTCCAGTCTCCCCACTTCTCATCTCCACAGCACTGCCACAGATACACAGCTCATAGGTACGGATAAGACACAGAGCCTTTCAGCTCTATAATGACACGAACATCGCTAAAAAACATCACTTCAACAATCACACTGATTTCATTACCAATGCAAAGTCACTCACCTCTAGGCTATCAACATTAAAGATCATAACTTTGGTGTCTCACGCTCAGTTTTGAAAACACCTTACCTGAATAGTCTATTAAATAATTTAATTATTTCCTAAAATCAGACATATTAAGAAAAATCCTACATGTAGTTCATACAAGACGATATTTCATTAAAGCTAAGTTACATATAAATCCTCACAGACCTGGTTAGAAGAATTATAATTATGCGGCAACTTAAATACTTGAACTGTGAACACTAGTCCATCCAAGTTTGAGACACCTGTTATTGTTTGAGACACCATAATTAATTGTCCATCTGGGCTTTTAGTTTACATAATGGAACCATTACATGACATAATAATAATATTCAGCTAAACCCTTTGTTTCCAGGTCCTAAACATGTTGGAGGCTGAATTTGAACTATTGCATTTCATATGTAATTGAAGATATTTAATTGCTGGTTAGTTCCAGTCAAGCAACTAGTCAAGAGTTTGCTGGAATTAAGACAAGCAGGTGAACTCCTACTTATCAGGAGAAGGGTTGGGAACCCCTGCTGTATCAGATTCTGAATCATAAATCCTGGAGTGATAAGAGAATCAGCACAAATTTCTACCTATTATCTTCATGCAATCACTACATCTCCCAGCTTCACAACCTCTGTCTTTACTTACGGTGGCTGCAGCTGGCATCCTCCCTGACATGAGCTGATACACTGTCTGCAGAGGGTCATTAATAGGGAGACTGTTTGCAAACCTGCAGAGCGGAGAAAGAAAAAAGTGCAACATCATAACCCACGTGGTATATCGAATTTTGAAAACAACCTTAACTAAAACAAATCACAAAAACAGGATTGTATTTAAGAAAATAAAACAATGAGGGTTGTTCTGTATTTTTTTGCTCATCTTCTTGCCTTTTGATACATTTTGATTCCATATCGCAGCTAAACTTGACAAATGTTTTTTTGTCCCATAGACTGGATAAGTCTTTAATAAAGGACAAGGCAACAAACACAGGCCAAAAAGAAAGCCCATTTTATTGCAGTTTTATCCATTTATCATCAAGGGAATTTCCTGACTCATTTGTTTGTACATTTATTAAACAGTGGCACAAATAATAAAGCAAATCTTTGTTTTAATAGTCTTCATTACATCAAATAACACAGACTGGTAAATTGCTGCCATTTATAGCTTTGAAACCAGGAAAATTATACAAATGAATTGCTCCTTACCTAGTCATAACACGGGCATGTGTTCTGTTGTCCATTTTACTGGCTAACAACAGGGCATGTCCCCATAAGCCATTCTTCATTGCAGACTCCAATGCATCCTGCCCAAAACAGCATGTCAAATTTAATTAGGAACAGATTTAGGCGAAATCACTAACTTATCAAAGCAGAAAGATGCAGGCACAGAGTTGAAGATATAAAAACATAAAACATAAAAAGATTGCTTCTTACATATGATTATATTAATATTTCAAGGCTGCAAAAATGGACTCTCCTGCGTAGCTTAAGAAATCAATTTGGGGCATGGCAGAAAAAAGTGACCATCACTGTTCACTTGGGTCAGTTTCCATTAATATTTAGCTCTGAAGAATAAAACATAAAAGCTTGGAAAGGGAATGAGGTGAGGAAAACAAGGAAAAAAGGTGATAATGGGTTAGAGTAAAAAGTAAAAGGTAAAAACTGAACCACCTATCCCTTCATTTTCTGAATGAAAATGTATTCTGCCTTTTTTTTTTTAATCTCTGCTCTTTCCCTCTTCCATACACCTGTCGGAAGCACCACAGCTGAAACGTGTTTTTATTCTTTTTAATTGTCAGCACAGTATGAGCCTCCAAACCTGTTCCTTTTCAGATCTCACACCACCACAACATGCCTGGCCTAACTTCAACACAAATAAAGGTTTGCCATTATAACCCCATATCAAGGACTGCAGCCCAAGAGGCCCAGGCAGACCTGAGAAGTGGGTGATGTGCTGCCAGAGGAAAAAGAAATGAAGTGCTGCTGTAAAGGAAGTGAGGAGTAAATGAAATAAAACTTGCCTTCTTCCGCCCAAAGAGAAGCAGCTCTCGGAATCTCTCCGTCTCCTTGCCTGCGTTCTCTGGTACGGTCATGAAGGTGTCGGAAAGCAGAGAGAGCTGCCCCGAGCCCAGCTCCTCCTCGGCGTGCTCCAGGGGCTCGTTATTAAAGTCAATCAGGTTGGCCTCATTAGGAGACTTCCCAGGCAGCCACACCGACTTGTGCTCTCGCAGCAGCAGATCGGCGATATCTGTCCCTACCACAGTCTGAAACACCAACCATTTTGTATCAGCATCAAAAACCAGAGGACTGCTGCATTCCATTTGTAATCTGCTCTTATTTCATATTCTCAAGGGAACCCTAATGTACCACATGAAAGCAGTATATACACGCACAGTGGGGATTCTCAAATCTGTTGTAAACTCGGGCCTAAGTTATATTATAATGCTTATTATAATTTTTTTTTATAATAAGCATTCTGATGTTCAAAAGTACTAGACGTTGGGATGCTTGCTAATTTCATGAATCCTATACCTAAGTTGAATCTATGTATTATTCTTTTAAATTTTCAAAAGAAAATCAATGGGGATCACCAACATTTCTCACAACACTGTTACTTTGTTACTGCACTATGCTTGTCATCTGATCCATTCTGCAACCTAAAGTATTTGAGATTTTTTCAGCACACGCCTCTTAATCACATATTTTTACACAACTTCTTCTCCGATTGTGTCATTTTTGAGCACTAACCCCATTCTGCCTACAGAGCAACACAATGAACTCCCAGATGAGGAATGCCGAGTCCTTATCAAGCAGGCTCTCATTTCTCAGGCACTCCATAGCTTTGTTCTGAGCGAACTTGATCACGTCAACTTTATGCGTTTCTTCTCTACAAGACAAAAACAAATCGGCACATGTGGACAGTTTTAAAGATGTCGGTCAGAAGCATGACAAAGATACTTACTGCAATACAGCAAGAGAAATATTTTAGAAGTTTATGTACTTCAGTTCATTAATGAACATGGCAAGTCAATGTGGTATTATAAGAAGACTTACTTTACAAGAGGCCCTGGGAAGGATCTGAGCTCCTCTTGCTCTTGTGAGTCCTGGAGCACAGTCTACAGGAGAGAAACATACAGATCAGCTATTCTATTACACCTCACATACCATCATGGTTAAAAGTTCAAACAGTCCTGTTCTAATGTATTGTTTGTATTCATTGTGTATCTCAGCTTTGTTACTTTAAACCACCTACTAGATGAAACACTTACTTCTCTTTTTCCAAAGGGAAAACGGTTTAACCCAGCATGTGACAAAAGCTAAATAAAACAACAATTAATGAAAAAAGCAATTAAACAACCATGGGCAACCTATGGGGGATGCTGAACACATAACACAGGACTGTCCAGTCCTGGGTCCTGGCTGGTGTTCAAGCTGCTGCATCTGAAGACCTCGGAGAAGCTGTTAAATTGGCACAGATAAGCCATTAACATTTCATTCCCGAGTTGGAATGAAAACCAGCAGACGCACCGTCCTTCCAGGACCAGGACTGGACATCCCTGATGTATCAGATAATGAGCACACACACAGGATTAAGTTTTAATATTCAACCAAAGTCTATTGAGATCAGTAAAACTCACATTTTATACTTTGTACTTGTATTGGCGATCCTGCTCGACCTGTGGTTTATTCATTACATCTCCCTGTTGGTATAAAGTCAATCCAGAACTGTATATATACACAAGTGTCATACCTCCATGCTGTGCATCTCCACCAGAGCAGGCTGGCCCTCCGAAGGCAGGTTGGGGAGAATTTTAATGAGCAGACCTCCAGGCCCAAACCTCGCGCACATGTGCGGGACTGTGTACTTCTCCGGAGTCACAGGTCTGGGAGGTGCTGAAGACAGAGACTTTCTCAATCAGCAAGGAATAAAAACAGCTGTTTTGGTCCTTGGGTCCTGAATTACACTTTTTCTGGTATATTTAGCACCATACAATAATTCATGATGCTTGAAGTCCTGTTATATACAAGTCTGATGCTAGACAGAAGAAATTTAGCACTGCCAACTGCAAAATGATCCATGCAGGTGGTGTCTAAGCCCAAACTCCTTACTTGAAGTAAATATACTAAATTTTAGGATTATTTAGTTAAACAAATGGCAAGACAGACTGAATGCCCACAGTCATTTGCCACCTTTAAGTTATGTACTCAGTTCCAAAGTGAGTGTTTTTATATGGCTTAAGTTGGCTTAAATCCAAGTCGCTCCCAATTTTTCCTCATCTAGTGAATAAAGGGAATTCCTAGTCATACCTTGTTCAACAGCAGGCCATCCGCTTTCCACCTGGTATCCCGCTGAGTACTGATAATCCGGATATCCCTGGCTTCCATCCACAGCGTCGGGATACTGGCGGTACGAGTAGTCAGCTTGCAGGGAGGTTGGCTGGCCCGCCTGATCATAACTACCCCCAACAAGGTCCTGCTGGCTTCTGTAAACTTGACTCTGAAAAAGAAAACCCACAGACTTCATATTAAAGCGGCAAAGGAGTGGTTCTCAAAGATTGTTTTCTATCATTATTAGACTTCAAAAATCCCTCTAAGCACACAAGAATTTATAGAACTACCGCTGCGAAAAAAATTCAGACTTTATAACCGTTTCTGATTCTGAGATTAGAGTCCTTTTAATGTAACCAAACAAAAAAGATCCACAGCAAAAAAAAAAGTAAAGCTTCTATTTTCCAGGGTTTTTTTTGTGTGAAAGAACCTTCACCTACTGTACACTATGTTTTTGCTAACAGAATAAGCCATCAGATATCTAACCTGAGGACGAAAGCAAGGAAAGAGAAATTAAGAGAAATGGCTTTAATAAAAGGAAAGTAGGGATTGCTTTTTGCTGTGGTTCCGCGTGGTGAATCCGTGCGGCCTATCCCGGAGGACGGGAGAAGCCGGGCGGGGACGCGGCGCGTACCTGCTGCGACCGCGAGCTGAAGCTGCTGCGCTGGCTGCGGGAACTGCGCACGCTGTGGGCCGACTGCTCGCTGTGCACGCTGCGCCGATCGTACTCGTCCCCGTAGGCGTCCCTGGGGCGCACGTACTCGTCGTCGAAGCTGGCGTCGTAGCGGGGGTCGTAGCGCCAGCGGTCGTCGTATCCCTCGGGCCTGAGCGAAACAGACGGCACTCTGAATGACCCCGAGTCAGGGTTCGCGCATCTGAGTGGGGCTAGCGCATCGGCACAAATCGACTGGCATCACGACTGAGGTTATGCAAACCAATTTCTGTTATGCAGCTATAAATTTTACTTCTAACTTTATAAATGTTTCACATTCTGGGAGTTTAGTTCTTTCAATTTGATGAAAAAGGGCCACAGTAAAAAAAGGTGCGGTGTTCTTCAGGTGTCAGCAGTTTCCACAGATGAAACGTTGTTCCTTTTCTTCTTTTCAGCATGGAATAAACCTCTACTTGTTCCTTTGCAGCCCACACATGCTGATGCAGCTCCCTACTTGAACTACTTCACCTACCCTGTTATTTCTGATAACAGAACAAGCTATTAAACATTCAATTATGGCCTACCTCTGCTGCCCTTTACAGGACATACAGGGTTGCGTCTGTGGCTCCAGGAGGTCTTTTTAACAAGTGCATTTTTACGGTCACAAAGCAAGTGCCCTCCTATACAATATGGACAAGGCTTTCCCAAACTCTCATTAATTACATTTAAACAAATTCCAAACTTTAGGGAAAAGTAATAGCACTGAAACAATACAACAGCACAGGACCCATCAAAATAAAAGAAGCATGTGAACCTGAAAGCTCACTGTTATTTAATAACAGTGAATAAATAATCGTTCTTATTTAAACGAGGTACTTTATTTATTGACTATTATCAGTTCATTCGGTATTATCAGTTCGTTGGTGTGTTAAGATGAGAATGACCCACAAATTGCCAATGTTTATCCATTTTACCTCTGTAGATAAGCTTGGCTATAGTAGGGATCTCTCCTCCTGTAAGCCTCTGAATCATAGTTGTACCAGTAGGACTGATCATAGTAGTCTCTGTATCGGGAATCGTAGGAGGCAGGATCATAACGGTCCCATCGACTTCGATCTAAGAAAACATTTAAATGAGAAGTTAGTTACTTTTTAGCAATTTCATAGCAACGGCACCAAAATAACGTAAGGCAGCTTCTTTGAGTCTTACCTCCATAGTCATATTGTTTTTTATAGAAGTCTGCATAATATTCATCATAGGCACTTCGACTAGCCTTCAGATAGTAGTCTTCAGCATAGCCTTGCCTAATGGGGGAAAAAAAATCATTTCCAAACTGGTAATCTTTGTATTGCATTGCTCTGTACACAGTGTGAGATTAACAGGAATATATTCATATGTTGTGTAAATACACGGTTTGTCATTCCCTCTGCTTTCTTAACACTTTTAAAGGCTCGCAGATTGCAAATTTCAGGATCAAGGTTCGAATTTTTACATCAAAAGCGAGCCTACATGTTTCCACCTAAATTTATCTATAGATATAAAAACTTAGTTGGAAATGTGGAAGCTCACATTTCCTGTGTACATAATCTGTTAAAATATCTTTACAAAAATGTGAAGTCTTTTTTCAAGATAACAAGCTGTCATAATGAGCTGTGTGTTCTTGGATATGCACAACTCACTGTCCCTCAGAGCAAGACTTCTACAATCAAAAGCTTAACCAATCTCCTGTCCAGTGCAGTAGGCAAAAAACAAAGTAACAAAGTACGATAGTTCAGCGAACACAAATAAACTGAAGTGACCATGACATCTCATAAAATTCTGCTACAGCACACATTTCAAACTGTACTGCGCTACATAGTAGGATTTGGAGCAGCATAATTCAAAGTGACAGGCCCATTTATTCTTTCTTTGAAATAGGTCATCCATGCACAACTAGGCCCAAAGAAGAAACAAAAGGATCCCCTCTCTACAGATGGGTTTACTATCCTATGAGCATAACCATCTGAATGCCTGAAGTACGAAGTACATTTTACATTCATTACCAGAAGATCGTAATAATAATCATGTGTATAATTCAGTACTTTAACAAAATGGTGGTACATACTATTTAAAAAAAAAAACGCTTCTCACTGAGAATAAACCACACTAACCTGGAGGACGGCCTGTCTGAGTACTGGCTAGCTCTAGAACTGGGCCGCTCTGGCTGCTCAGGGTACTGGTATCGTTCTCCTTCCCTGTACGCCGGGTTGTAGTTATCATATCTCCCATACCGTGGATCATACCTTCTGTAAGGGTCCTCCTAGGCAGAAACATTCACAACTTCCTTCATTTCAAAGATCAGTGTAAGTCAGTGATGCTATGACACAAAGAGCTGTTTTTTCAAGTCCCAATCATGAGCTCAGCCTGTACAACTTAAATAAAGTCAACTCACCACAACCCATCAAATCTCTCTAAACAAGAACCTATAGTAGCTGCATCATGCCCATTCAATAAGTAATTATCCTAGAAACATCCAAGGATTTTGTTCCCTTAAGCATCAAGGATTACTGTCCTGTTGACACCATTTTCTACACTAATGGCAATACAAAGCAAAAAATGTAAAAAAGAAAAAGTAATAAATAATACAAGAGTCCCTTAATAGTAGTATATAAAATGCCAATCTAATGTCAGAAGGCTGCTTATTCATTTGTAAGGATAATGGCAACATGACGCCAAGCACAGGAGACCAGGCCATAGCAGGGCATACAAGTACCCTAGGGCAATACAGAATGTCCAATTAACCCAGCTAGCATGTCTTTGTAAGTTGGGCAGAAATCATGGTACCCAAAGAAACAGAAGCAAATCTGGCTATAACAAGAACACGTCATACAGAAAGCACTCCAATCTAGGATTTAACCCAGGACCCAAGGGTTATGAGGAACAGTGCTTCCACATTTACTCATGCATACAAGTATTAGTATTAGTAATAGTATTAGTGTAAATGTGGAAGCACTGTTGCCTCATAACTCTTGGGATCCTAGATTGGATTACTATATAGATTGGTATACTATATATACACATTAAACTAATAATGTGTATATAGTAAAACTGAAAATGCCTCCTACATCATCCAGGTGGATGCAGCACATTGGTGGTGGTGGAAGGGATTCCCATTATCTGTAAAGCACTTTGAGTGGAGTGTCCAGAAAAGTGCTATATAAGTGTAAGCAATTAATAATAATAATAATAATAATAATAATAATAATACACAATCCTGATCTAACTTGGTTATTTATGGAAGATAGAAACTGTACCTGGTAATACGGCTGGTGAGCCCTGGGATCAGCTGGGGGAGGATAAGGTGGGTAAGGCCTTCCATCCGGATACTCAGGATAGGCACCACCATAATAAGGCCCATAGGGCGGCTGTGGTGGTTGAGAGGGAGGCCCATATCCTGGCTGGGGCGTGTGTGATGATGGGGGTCTCTGGAGATCAGGAGGAGGCTGCTGGGATGTGTTTGGTGGCAATGGCTGAGGAGGGTACATGGATGGTGGCTGTGGTCCTCCCAGGCCAGGAGCATATCCAATAGATGGATTCAGAGCCCCTGATGCTTGCTGGCCTTGTCCGATGAGCTGAGGCTGTGGATACTCATTATTTGGTGCAGGGCACTGACTGGGCTGAGCTGGCAGTGCAGCTTCTTTTCTCAGAAGCCCAGGCTGAGCCTCAGGCTTCTGTGAAGTGTCATCAGCTGGCTGCTGGGTGTTAGTTGGCATTGGAGGGACAGCTGCTGTTGACAGCTGCTGCTGTTCGTGCTGAGCCTTTCCTGTCTGCTGTGCATCTTTGGTTACCTGCAGATAAAACCCTGTTGCATTACTCACTGGTGTGCCTTGCTTTAATGGCACAGGCTGCTGGGAGCCTACCGGAGGAAGATAACTGCTTTGATTAGAAGTTTGATTTGGGGTCATTGGCGGATGGTGCATGGTAAAATCAAGGAGTTCATAATTGGTAGCATTCTGATGCATAATCTGAGGTTGCGCTTGGGAACTGGTAGCTGGTGCCGAATGCTTTTGACCTACATTTGAATCAGTCCTGGAGATAGTGGAATTTGGAGGTTTACTTGTTAACTCTGAAGCTGAGCTTTCTGCTGTTTGTTTCATATTCTGCCTGTTTTCTGGTGCCAGATTGAGTGGAGAGTGATGCAGTGGTTGAACTGACAAGTTTCCAGGTTGACTACTTATAATTCCAGGGGAATTCATTGAAGATGCATGTGAATTTGGGGGATGATTAGCCAAGGACATGTTCAGTAGGGGGGTTAATTGCACAGGATTTGTACCAGACGTCAGAGGGTTCTGGCTTAAAGGTAAAGCCATGTCATTTGTTCCTAGATTTTGTAAAGCGTCATTCTGGTTTATTTGATTAGCAGAATGAGATGAGGAGAGTGGAGAATTATTTGGAGGAATCACACTGCAGCTTTGAGCTGGTGGGGCAATCAAGATAGGTTGATTCTGGAATGATTCAGCAGCGGGGGAAGCAACTAGCAGGCTGGCATAGCCTAAACTTGCCTGGGAATTTAATGGGTCACCCTCGTTTGCCTTTGGAGGGTTCTCAAGGTTCTCGGAGGATGTCTCTGGCTTCTGTGAAGGGGATGCTTGGTCTGAAGACAGCTGCAGTTGCTGAAATGAATGTTCCAAAGGGCCATCTTCAGGTGGTTGAATAACTTCTGTACTAGGCTGCTTGAATAATCCGTGTACTGGAGGGGCAGCTGGAGCCAACAAGATGTTAGCCCCCAACTCTGGCATCTCATTTTGGGCCCACAGGGTAGTAGCAGGACTCTCACATTTCACTCGTGTACCATGAGCTCTAGAAGATGGTCTCCGTTCAGGAAGAGCAGTCTCTGCCATGGGCTTGCCGATAGGCTGCATGACATTAGTAGGACTGCCTACATGCGACTGTACCACTGATGGGGTGCGGGGTGAGGGAATAAATATGTTTTCCAGGTTGTCCGGTGGCTGTTCGAGATTACCAGGCGATGCATCTGAAATGACCACTCCCTGTGGTGCGTTGTTTTGTGCTCCATTGCTTTTCTCCATGACCATCCTGGCTTGGTCAATCTCAATGGGTTTGACACCCACTCCATGTGATCTGACAGGTTCAAAGGAACTGTTTGCACTGGCTTGAAATATCCCAGTTGGTTTGGGGGGGCTGGGTGTTGGAGGCTGGGAAAGCTGTGTGTGATACATTTTATTCTGGTCAATTACATCTCCTGCAGGAGACGTATCAATCTGCTCAAAATAACCAGCTGAAGTTTCTTCAGTGGGTTTAGCAATCTCCTGCTGTATAAAAGTTCCTACCACTCCCTGTGGCCTTCTGGAACTAGATGCACTGCTGTGACTTATGTTACTATAACTTGAGGAGACACTTTCAGATCGAACAGGATGAGGAATAGAGTCTGGAGTCTCTAGGTTAGGCCCCCCTTCAAAATTATCCCCCAACTGAGAAGCAACACTGCCTTGTCCAAGTCCTGTGACATCACTGACATTGTGAGGCATTTCTGGGATATTAGGTGGTTCATTAGGTAACACTTCCTGATTTGGTACACATTCCAAGTTTTCCACATTGTCAAAGTGTGTCCCGATGTTTTTCTGGGAATCCCTTGCGAAACCACTGTCATTCAAGTATGAGCCTGAAGCATCACCACATGCATGGGCCTTAGAATGAGCAGCCACATCCAAGGCACTTTGGGTAATATCGGTACCCGTCTGCAACTGTGAAGACTGCAGCTGCGTATTTGGAAAACCGGGGTTAAAGAATGCATCCTGGCTCGGCACAAATGAATCTGCATTAGAAATGCCATTGGCAGTCTTACCCTTGCTAACAAGCATTTCTTCATTTTCAACATCATTCCCTTTGAAAAACATTGATAAGGTGCCAGGATCTGATTCATAAGAAACAGGATTACCAGCTGGTAGCTCTCCTGATTGCACAGGAATAGGTGCCTGTTCGGTATTAGCTGGGTTGGGGAGATTATTCGTTACAATTCCGCCCATCTGATGATAGAAATGCTCTCCGGGAGGTGGGTTAAACCAGGGATCAGGTGATCCAAAATTCTGACTGAAATAACCCTGAGTTGGAAGCTGAGGGTTATAGTGCTCTGGAGCGGGTGGTTTGTTGCTCTCTGCTTTTTCAAGCAACTGCTGTGTTGTGCTGGTTGCTGAGCTTGGAAACAGAGTGGCATTGTGCTGGCTACTCTGGCCTAATTGATCCGAGTAGACATGACTTTGAGGTGGTATCTGTTGAGGTATGTTAGCCGTGGATAAGTCTGGTAGGGGAGCACTAACTGACGGAGATGAATGATCACTGCTTGGCTGGAAATAATTATGAACTGAAGGAGGGCGGCTACCATGATCAGACATCCACTGTGTCGCCAATGGTTGCATGTTCTGAGGTGGAAAGGGCATGGCACTTGGAACTGTAGGCTTGTAAGAGGCAGGCCCTTTATTCAAATCCTGACCATATGGGGGTCTATTCTGCAAGGGGGCTGCAGCAAAGGAAGGGCCTTCAAAGCTGTTGTCTGGGGCACCTTGAGCATGATAAGGTGAATGTTCTCTGGAGTTAAATGGCCCATGGTCTTTTCCAGGAGGAGTCGAGCCTGCAATGCTGTGGACATTGGTGAAATGGCCTGGCAGTGGTGACGGAGCCACGTTACTGTTGGGGGTAAACACATTGACCCCAGGTGGGCCTGATAAGGATGGCAGTGTTGGTACAGATTGAGATCCTTGTGCACTCTCCATTGTCTGTGAAGGTAAGGGCTGATTCTGGACTGGAGCCATCTGATAGAATCCTGAAGGAGGCTGATTTTGCATAGGAAGAGGGCTGCTTTTCATGGGTGCAGGATGGTTTTCCAGAGCCATGGTCTGTGGGGTCTGCCTGCCATAAGCAAACGGGTTGGTCACAGGAGGGATAGGTGCAGCTGCCCCAGACACGGGTGCATTCCCTGGTTTGTAAGTCTTTGTCCTTCGAAATGCATTGGGGACCCCTCCAGTTGGGGGAGGGCCAACAGCCCCTGGAGGTGCAGTTCGAGGAGGAGGCTGCATCGCCTACTTTATTCCAGTTAAAGGCAGCGTTATTCCAGAGTTAAGACGCTCACACTCCACTGTGAAAAGAACACACAACACAAATGCGAGGATAATAAAAGTATGTAATTTAGACTAAATGCTACAAGGAGAGTTTATTGGTTTTAAAAAGGTTCAAGAAGCATACTTCAGTATGGTTTAAAAGAAGATGCTGCGTTAAAACTGTGGCTCTTCGATCGCAGACCACAAGCAACAGTAAAGTAATGTTAAATATTTAATGGATTTTACACAGGACAAGAGCCCATGTGTATATAGGGTGATACTTTGTTTATTCTTACAGAGAGTGATATGAATTAGAGATTATATATCATAATACAATGACATAATGAGATTGGTGATATTATACCAGAAGATTTTTATACCCATATTGCAGCAAGGCAATTGCTTTGAGTTCATTTTTATGCCAACCAAAGGTAACAATTAGTACAGGCTAAAACTATTACAAATCTGTTTTCACAACATCAATATTACATTTAATCCAATAGTATTACACACAGATATCCTCTAGAGCTGGCAAATTAATGACCACAATATATCATTGCTTTCTATTTCAGTGACCTTGTCATGTCTCTTAATGTAGAAAATGTACTTAAGCCTTAAAAAGTCAGAGAAATCATAAAGTAATGGCACAAAGCATATCCTACACCCTACTGTGTATAGTTTTCTGCCTAATTTGGATATTTTCATCTGTCCAGTCAGTTTGTGTCATCAATTTGTGTAGTATCTTTTGGGTGACACGAAACAGATGCACTCATGATTCCGATAACTATATCTGTACAGACCAGACAAATTGCTGAAAAATTAAATTACTTTTCCTATACCTTTACGCTTTTATGCACTTTATGAATCTGATATTCATGGGAAATTAAGAAAAAGGTCTGTATTAAAATTCACAAATCTTTACAATGGAAGCTATGAAGAACCCTAAATCACAACTTTTTTCATTACATTTTGATGGGACTGTTATTGGGCAGCGGAGCACTTTTAGCAACAGACTGCTCCAGCTCCGGTGTTCAAGAAAACGTTTCCGCAGGTCTTTCCTCCCGGCGGCTATCAGGGTGAATAATGCTGCCCTAGGCTAGGACTGTTAGCCCTTCATTTGCTTGTCTATGGACAGCATGTTGCTCCATTGTACTTTTTTTGGACACTCAATCTGTTTATACCTATGCACATTTTGCATATATTTTATTGTTTTTACAGTGACTAAGATCATATTTTGTACACACCTATGTATTTATTTTATATTTACTCTGTATTACTGTACATATTATAATTTTTATTCTATTCCGATGTCTGTTTTTTTGCTTGTCTTGGGCCAGACTGCTGTAACACATCAATTTCCCTTCAGGATCAATAAAGTCTTATCTATCTATTTTGTACACTTGCCACAGTAGTTATTCAATATTTTTTAAACTAAAGCCATATTATTATTTAAGATTTACAGCTTTTTAGTTAGGGATTCAGTGATTCCACCAAAAGATCTGTCACACCAGTGTTGACAAAGCCTTGAGTTATTTATTCCCAAGTTGCAAGTTTTACAACTGTCAACTATAAGATGACTGCCCCTTCACTAATAAGAGAGGCTGCAAAACATTAAGAATGGCAAGCGAACTTTCTATTCTTATTTAAATGGATACATTATCACATGGCAAAATGAGTGCTGGATCTTTGAACCCAACAAAAATGCAATGATGACATCATTAATAATTTCTTGAGGAATGTACTGAATATTAATTAAGACAGTTTTTATAGAGACTGGGTTACCAACAATAGACCACGATCCTGTGCAAACAAAGTGACTGCATGAATTACAGTATGTGATCTTCAAGTACTGCATATTTAGGAGGCTGGGATATTCTGTGTGATTAACAGGAACACCTCAACATTAAACTGCACAGTTTAAAAACATATTTAAAAGGGGAAATGCAATGTTTTTTTTATATTTTGAGGTTACAAAATCAGTGCCCTTCAAACCACAATAAAAGTAAAATGTACAGTAACTTGTAGATCCTCCAATTTACATCACAAAATAAAATTTAAAGGTAGACGCAGCATCATATTCTGCGATTTGGAACAAGGCAACAAAACGTCTGGTGACGTGTTGGGGCCCTATTACACTGTGAGCAAGCAGGCTTGTGAATACATCTCTTTTAATCCAAGAGAAATACTGCTCTCGTCTTCAAGATGGTTTTGCTGATAAACTGATTGCAGATTATGTTGGAAAGTTTCTGTGGTGAAATGCCGGCTGCACAACCTGTGCTTAATTTGCACATTACATTAGTTATTACAGTGACTAGGGAGCAGTAGGGGCTGCTTTACGTCACAATTCGTGAGAAATCATGCTCTCGTCTATAGCAAGACCAGGGGTGTGCAACAGCACAGCGACATTTCAGTACTTTTACAAAGTTCACGATTGTGTGCTTATTTCGAAATTTGTTCAATTTGTCTATACCGTCAATGAATTTATTTTATCAAGATTTAATAACAAGCCTGAGAAACTGGGACTGCAGCTCGTCTTTAAATATACTCCAAATATCATAGAGAAAGTGGTTTGTGACTTACAAGATAAAGTGTATATTCTGTACACCTAACCCTTTTGGTTAGTAACTCATTGATCAGAAATCTCATCCAGCCATTTCTTGAAGGAAGCCAGGATATCAGCCTCAGATACATGGATGGTAGGTTCATCCATACTCCCACCACTTGTGACTCATTATACTTCTTTCAGTATATGAAAGAAGTATATGGAACCTTCACAGGAAAATTAATATTATATAGAATCATTTTGGCTTCCACAGCAAAAAATTCAACCACCAGTAACTAGACCTCCTTCGTAGTCCTATAGACATTTGTCTTCGGATTCACTGCACACATATAGATTTCTCCACTGGGTTGTGCGTACACTGTGAAGCAGCTTGCATTTCCTAATAACGGGATGGAATTCCACGTCAGCCTCAGGTGTGCGACGTTTCTGTGGCTAATGTAGTCCTCACAAACAGCGTTTAAAGAGCTGCTTTAGGACTAACTTTCTCACCCTCATCTATTGGCGCCCGTCGGTTGCACTGTTGCTCTAAAATAACTCTCAAAAGCATCATGAGTCAATACAATACAATGTAGACGAATCAGGTTATTTTGCAATGGTTAATTTAGCGATTTGCAATTTTCAATTCTTTACTATCGAACACCACAACAAACACCTATACGTTTTTTTGGTTTCCAAACTCTAAATCCTTATTATTCGTGTGTTACAATATTGTAATACAACTTAATTACTGAAGTCGCACTTGCAGTCAGGGTGCCTATCGGGTTTCTAAGTCGTAGAAACTAAAGTCCAAAGCATAAGGACTCTGTTCCTCACTAGAGCTACAACAAACGCAAAATTTAAGATGTTATCAGACGACACCCGCACAAAAATAAGCAAATAGTGAGAAGCTCTCAAATTAATACTCAAATGTTTTTAAGATCAAACCCGACCTTGCGATCTTAAAAAATAGCGAAAAGGACTATCTTCTCCAGCTTTATTTATTTGACACATTTGGAAGGAACGTTTCAATATCGAATAGGGAACATTTAAATTTTTCAAGCAATTTTATAATTAACACCACTGCGAAACCTGCCGTTAAAAGCGGCGACTCGTAGCAAATCGTTAACATGCTGCTGTCGTGTTTAAAGTCAACAAGCAGAGGATATCGGCGACTCATCACATATGATTAACTGAACGTCTGCAACAGGCAAGTGCCGAACTTTCACGAAGCCCGTTTGTACATCAGACTGGGGAGAGTGAAGATGTGCAACTCGCCGATAATCGATGGTCTGATGCCAAACCAGATCTTTAACAGGATGCGCTGTCAGTTCCTTAAAGCCCCCACTTCTGCCGGGGGGGGGAATAATAACAGATCTTGTGCCTTTTAAAACTAGGGTAATCCCGACCCAGTCCCATTATACAAATCTGAACTCAGTGCTGCACCACACCGCTTGTACATCTCGATCCATCTTACCTCTCAAGAACGAGATCGCCGACCTCCTGGAGACGACAAAGAAACAACACAATTCGGCCAGTAAAGCGGAATTAAATACGAATTCCTACAAGACTGCAGAACCGTGAGGCAAACACACAGCCGCCATCTTCAACCAGAGCTACATCCTGCTAGGCGACGTGTACCTCTAACGTCACAATCCCAAACACCGTGGCGTCACAGTCGAAGGCCTTGAACCATGTACAATTTGCAGTTAATGTTGTAATTTTGCATAATTATATTTATTTTGGTTGTTGACAATAAAATCATATGCGTATAAATGATTTAAAAAGAAATATAATTATTTTTAATAGAAAAGAACGAGGCACGATCCGAGCTCTACCGGAAATGGACGATTTATATCGAACAGTGCGCCCCTAGAGTACATCAACGTGTAATGTTTTTGTAAGAAAAGATGAACTTGCATCTGAACCCGAGATATTAAATTGGACCGAGTCCGTTTTTTTAAAGAAAATAATTGACATAGTGTATACACAACCCTGTTAATATAGTCCAGGGCAATACCGGGCTCAAGACCTTATTTCACGCGATGCGATGGATGCTTATAGTGTGACGAACATCGAAATCTGTTATGAGAAAGCAAGTATGTAATTTATCTGCTAATGAACAAATACATTTTATTATCTACGTTTGCGCAAGGAAATGATATTGTGT